AACAAACAAGCAAACAAGAACAAATTGTACCATTCCTTTAGAAATGTCATTATCTACCATACATAGCAGTCTTTCTTTTCAGCAATAAAAGACAACTGACCATCTACAGATTTCCAATATCCTTGCAGTGTTGACCTCATCGAAAATTGATGAGATCAAAAGTACAATTATTCTGGACAGGAGCCGTGCTGCCAGATTATCTTGCACAGAAAATCTCTGAATGTCAACCTAGCACATATATTGAGCAGATATGACACTTTCTCTCCTATAACTTCAAAGCATCATTGAGTAATTTTTTTCTCTGCACAATAGTTTATGACATTCATGTCTCTTTCCTCTCCTATCTCTTGGAGAATTTATTCTTTGATCTTAATCTCTAAGAGTTTAATTTCCTTTTCCACTGTGGAGGTGTGGATTGGGTGGGAGTCATTGTAAAAGTTACAGAGTAGTAACCATAAACAAAATAAGACCTAAAGAATATAAGATTTTTTTTTCTGGCATCACTGCTCCTGGAGAGTTGATGTGATGAGGTGCTTCATGGTGGTGAGATAGTATCATGACCTGTAACTCTGTTGATTCACCTTGGAACAATTCACCTACCAGCAACGGCCTGGGCTGACATTTTTTTCATGCTGCATTAAGAACCTGAAATACTGCAGGGAGTTCCTAACTGACCTCCTTCGTTTAGAGTCACCCTGACTCCCTAAATCATTTTCCACAGTGCAATGAGAGAGCACTCCAAAAAGTAAATCATGTCATTCCCCTGCTTAGAACTCACCAGTGGTTTCCTATTGCAGGACAATAAGTCCAGCTCTTTTAATAAAGCTTCCATGGCCTTTACAGCAGAGGCCCTGCTTCTTTTTGTAGCCTCCAATCCCATCACTTCCTTCAGTTCTTTGAACATCATGTGCCGTTCTTTGCCTCCAGGCCATGATACATGCAAATCCTTTTTCCAGGTACCCCCTAAGTCCCCCTGTCTATTCACTAGCTTATGGCACATGCTTGCTTGTGCAATAAAAGTGGAAGAGGACTTGTACTTCCTATTATTTGAAAAAGGAAATATTTTTAAAGTTATTTATTCACGTAAGTGCAGTTCTGTCTGTCTTTACTCATTTCTGTCATCAAAAAGATTTCTGAGGTGGCTTCCCTGGAGGCGCAGTGGTTGAGAGTCCGCCTGCCAAGGCAGGGGACACGGGTTCGTGCCCCGGTCCGGGAAGACCCCACATGCCGCGGAGTGGCTGGGCCCATGAGCCCTGGCTGCTGAGCCTGCGTGTACAGAGCCTGTGCTCCGCAGCGGGAGAGGCCACAACAGTGAGAGGCCCACATACCGCAAAATTTCTGAGGGATTGTTAGCAGCAGAACAAAGATTTATGCATCCCTCAGGCCTCATTTGGAGATTATGGTGGATCAAAGAGGGTGCTGATAATGTGTCTGGACAAAAGTCAAAATCTCAAACAAGGCAAAATATAGATTTTTTAAATGGCTGGTCTACACTGGGTTTAGCTAGCTGCTCACCACCACCACCCCCATTTTGAAATTGTCTAATTTCCATTTCTTACAAAAATGACTTCATAAAAGATAGGCTTTTGTCTCATTATGTGTAAATGAATGTAACAAATCGAATGCATTTCTCTCTCTTAATCTGCCCTACTCCACGCACCAGGATAAAATAAACAAGGTCTTTGGACATTCGAAAGCTCTGTTGAATGAACATCTTGTACAAACCATTGCCCCAATCAGCCTTACTCAGTATAGTCTTGGGAAATACACTTTTATACATTATTTGTTAGAGATTATTCTCCTATTTTGTGGTGGAAGAGTTCATTAGTTCCCAGCCCATAGGTGCTTCTATGTAGGAGAAACAAGGAATGAATATAACATATACTGTAATTATCCTCTGAGCAGAACTTCCCTGGATATATTATAAGGAGTCAGGAGGGATTAATGGAGAGAGCACTGAATCCTGTGACCTGGCATCATGCACATATAGTCTGCATTTCTCAGTAATTGGATAAGAAACCCTTGGCTGGTTCATTTCCCCTTGTAGGTTTCAGTTTTTCTCATCTATAAAATGAGGGATATAAGTATCTGAGTATAAATGTTTACATAATATTGAAGACATTTTTCAGCTCTATCATTCTATGAATTGAACTGGCATCATTAACGTAAGATGAATTTAAGTCTCTAATTCATATCCTTGGGTCCACTTCTGCTCTCCCTCAATATATTCACATTGAAGCCAGAGCCTGTTTGGACAGTTCTGAATGAGAGCACATCATTCCTGCACCTAAAACCTTTCACTGGCTTCTGTTTGCACTAGGAGTAAAATAAGAACTCCTTGCCAGGCCTGACAGGCCCTGCATGGCCTATTGCTGGCCAAGCCCTCAGGCCTTGTCTCCTCCCCCTTTTTTCCTGAACTCTGCTGCTGCTGTTCTGGCCTTTCTTCCTGCTCCTTGAGCCCACCACATGAATTTTCACCTCAAGGCCTTTGCACTACTCCCCCTCTGCCTGGTGCTTTCCTCTGTTCTTCTATGGCCAAGTTTACGTCCTCACAGAGGGCTTAGCTCTAGAGGACACTTTGAACACACCATCTAACCTAGACACCTCCTGCCCAGCACTTAGTCCTATTTTATCTTCTCCTACTATTTCTATCTGAAATAATCTTCGTTAATCATTTAATTGCTGCTTTCCTGTCTCCTCTATTAGAGTGTGTGCTTATTGAGAGCTGGCAGCTTCCCTATCTTGCTCGCTGGTAATTTCCCTGTGCCTAGAAGAAAGCCTGGCATATAATAAACACTCCATAATATTTGACTCAGTGAATTCACCCTGAGGTGTATTTAACTAATCACAGGTTATTTTTTAGAGACTACTTCCCTAAGTATGGGAAAAGTAAGAGATGGTATAAGTGTCTGGGAACAGTAGGAAGCCAGATGAAGAGAGGTATATGTAGAGATTAGAGGATGGTAGAGAAAAAAACAAACTTTATCCTTTTTTTCAGTCTCTTCTGTCTAGTGTAATCTTAATCCAAAATATGCCAACATCACAGATAGGATTTCAAAGAAGTGGGAACAAGGGTGGAGCTAAAACTTACACCAAGCTTAAACAAAAATAAACAAGCCCAACTGAGGAGCAATTTGACCTGTATTGAAAGAGTGAAAATCATACATCACAGTCTCTCAGTGATAGGGCAGAATTTCCACCTCCTTACTCAAAGCTGCCCCACCTTTCCACCTGCAGCTCACTGGGGGACCCCAGAGAATTTAATAAAGACAGAGCCTTGGGAACCTACAGTCAGAATTTCAGTTTGATTTTTTATAAGGAAAAAAGATAGGAACATTACAAAGATGCCATGGGGAGTGGGAGAAACCCCAAGCAACGGGGAAAAACCCCTCAAATTAAATTCTTATTGAGAAATATATCGTTCATTTAGAGTTAGTCAGGTTGAATTAAATAGAAAGACTTTTTATTTAACATGTAGGGGGAAAATGGGTATATAGAGTGACTATAAAATTTCTTTCTTGCAATTCTTGATGGCCCCTACTAACAATATTTGTACGCTCTGTAAATTTCTCAAGCTTTTTGAGTTTCAACACATTCTTAAGTACTAGGGCAGCTTTGATGCAAATACAAAAAGTACCCCAGATATAGGTGTCTGGTACTAAGTCCACAGTACTTGTTACACGTGTCTCTTGAGTACACAGCGCCCCACGGTTCTGTGAAAACAACCGTGGTTACCACACAGTTGGGTTTGTTGCCCTTCTGTACTACCTTTCTGTTTCCTGTCCTGACTCTACACTTTTAAATCCTCACGAGATACATGTCATGTCTTGCCTGATGTAGCGAACACATAAGCTGTTCATGGCATACATTTACCTTTGTGCCTGTGTCTCTTCTGGGACCTGATGCACCTTTTCAGAACCAGACTCCATCCTGCAACCTGCCACTGGGTTCGATATTCCATCTGACAAAAATTGCCATTGGAGTACATGACAGATGCGGCAAATTCGGCGATGGCTGTCAGGGATTTCTTTCTGAGTGTTAAGGCACACGGTTGAGAATTACTGCTCTGAATCTGTTTAAGCAGCTCAGTGTCCACCTTTCGTCTTCCTTAAAGAAGAGTGATTGCCCCTCTTATAAACCCTACTCTTACGATCTTATCTACTCTACTTCATGTGAAATCCTGAAATTGAGATGACTTTTGACAACCCCACCTGAAATCTTAGTCTCATTTGGGGGGTTTGTCCACTGTGCTTTCTGGTCAACCTACAACTGGAGCAGGTATTTAAAGGGAATGTTGTAGTGAGTGAACAGGTGCTCACATTATATTTAGAAAACATGTCAATACTATTAAATTATTTGTAAAAAAAAACCCAGTATTCTACTTGTTCTGCAGTACACAGCTGTACCCCCAGAGTACAAAGAACAATGGATGTTTGTAATGTTTGTGTGTGTTGTGTGTGTTAGTGTAGGTGTGTGTGTGTTAATGTAGGGGTGTGTGTGTTAGTGTAGGTGTGTGTGTGTGTTAGTATGTGTGTGTGTTAACCCTCGAAAGTTTAGCATGTATTTATTAAACACATTATTATTTTAATTTTTGAAAAGTTGTTAACTCATGCCATGCTTCACTTTTGGCTGAAACTGGATGATTAAACTTGATCCTGCATAAAGGAGTTATAATAGATTGTTACAGAAGGAAATGGTGAGAATGAGGGTATGGATGAGATCGAAATAATATGTATGTACATTTTCCTATGCATGTGGCAAGTCTTGTATAACTTCACAACGCTCTTTGCATCCTTTTTAATTCCGATGATTTTGCATGGTATCCCATGGAGCTCCAAAGAGTTGAGTATAAAATCCTAACATGCCACTCCACCCACATCAGTTCCACAGTCGCTGGAGTCTACCTCTGCCTTTTGTGCCCCTTCACTTAGAGTAAGACTCTGTTCTCTGGAATGCGCATCCCTCTGGTAACTTCAGCCTCCCCTTTTTCTGTTTTCAAGGATGGGAGGAACAGTTTTATTGGACACCAACTGGGCGGGGTAGTGGAAGTGCCAAACAGCAAGGACCAGCGGGTCAAGTCAGCCAGAGCCATTCAAATCACCTACTACCTCCAGACCTATGGCTCTGCCACCCAAGACCTCATAGGGGAGAAGTGGGAGAATGAGTTCTGTAAGCTTATGAGGAAGCTCCAGGAGGAGCACCGGGACCTCCAGCTATACTCCTTAGCATCCTTCAGCCTCTGGAGAGACTTTCATAAGACCAGCATCCTGGCCAGAAGCCAGGTCCTCGTGAGCCTTGTGCTGATCCTGACCACAGCCACCCTCTCCAGCTCCATGAAGGACTGCTTGCGCGGCAAGCCCTTCCTGGGCCTCCTGGGGGTGCTCACCGTGTGCATCTCTGTCATCACCGCAGCTGGGATCTTCTTCATCACCGACGGAAAGTACAACTCCACCCTGCTGGGAATCCCGTTCTTTGCCATGGGTAACTATCCATCCTTGTGGTAATCGGCTTCTTACCGGTTTGGGGCAAGGTAGTACATTTCTTGAATTCTCAGGTGGAAATCTGTTTTAATTTTGCATTGGTATGTCTGTGTGATGTTGTGAAATTTTACCTGGGGTGCTGTCTGTTTTACCTGATTAGGCCTTTTTCAGTAAATTTTAGGCTGACCAAGGCACCTCATTTATGCCAGGGACTTTAATGCTGTCCAGTGTTTTTAAAGTACAAACTATTGTAAGCTTCTACTCAGCATCTTCAAAAATTATAGGTTAAAGATCATGGGGTACGAAGTTAAGGAGTTCCAATACCTGTTTCACACAGATTTTTGTGGTTCATATTAGTGTTGCATCCTCAAACTGATGATGATGAAGAGTGGATATCACGGGATGAAAATTGTGAGAGCCACCAATAGGTTCTAATTTCAAAGACCTTCATTAGACTTTGTTTATTAATTCATTTCAAAGTTTTTGCAGAGAATATACTCCATTTCCTCACCTCTATTTAAAATTTTTCTGCAGCCACTTAAAGATGTGGCCTCTAACTTTTTGGTGTCTGTTGAAAACAATTCATGAGTATCTTCAGTAAAGATTATACTTTTTTGTACATTTTTCCCAGACATACTTAAACGGTCTAGAAAATGGTATGTGAATGTGTATGTGTGTGTGTGTGTGTGTGTGTGTGTGCACGTGCACGTGCACGCATGCACATGTGTGTGTTTCTTGCAAAAGAGAAGATCAAGTCTGGGAAGAAAAGTGAGTGATGGTTCATCAACAAGATTGATGGAACTTATCAGAATAGAGATGATGACGGTGATTATTTGTGGTGCCACTGAAGAGTTCTGTCAGATGTGGTACAATTCCATACATGCAGCAAAGGATAAACTGTGAAAATGGCCTCTAGACGGTGAACTGACACGCACAGGAGAGTCTTCAGCTGTAAAATAATTGCTTTTCCCTTCCCAGGTTAATATCAGCCCTAAATTATAGCTTTATTATTAAGTAAAAAAAGATGTAGGCATGCAGTTAAAGTCTTCCAGGTGACCTGGGCCCTTTTCATTTTGACCTAAACAAACGTTTTCGAGAACAACGTTGCAAAGTGGATTTATCTGGAAACCCATCTTCACTGTGGCCCTGTTAGCTCATCTCGGTAAGTCTCAGTTTCCTCTTGTATAAAATGAGGATAAATGAAAAGCCAGTTCCAATTTGACCTCTATGGTACAGCAGTATTTCTACTTAAAACTAAATAATAATAACAATGATAATAATAATAAAGCAGCTATGCTTATTATCACTTAAAAAAATAAAATGAGGATAATGATTGGATAATAATGATGAGGATAAAAAATAAGTCAAAGAATTGTTTTCTGAACGTAATAGAATATATCTAAAGGTAATACGACAGGGTAGACACTCAGTAAGTATCATCGAGTTTTAGTCGTTAAGCTGGTGTGTTACGCGCAGTGGATTCAGTGATGAATAAGAAACAGCCCTTGGCTTCAGGAAATTGAAAGTCTTTCTTGCATTCTGCATATCATGTTTAAATGCATGTTCATCTTGTTAACAAAAAGTTTTTCTATTTGCTAAAGAAATATATGAAATTTTTTTTCACCAGTGACAAGGATAGGTCTAGATTTGAACCACTTATACTTGTTATGTTTTGTGGGCTCAGTCCTTTCACTTAATAATATAAGATTCATATGAATCATGCAGCATGATTCACAAATGAAACATGGATCATTCGAGATGGACAAATTAGGCACCTTATAGCCAAGAGGGCTTTTTCTAAAACTGGTGGCAATCTAATTAGGTAGTGGAAAGATTTATCAGGAAAATTCTATAATGTATAGAATTATATTTCATACGAATAAGGAGAAAATTGTCTCCAGTGATGCTGAATTGTATTCTAGGCTCAGATACTAAATCAGTGGTATTTTCATTCCTTAATTAAAGAAATAATGAGAACACTGAAAGCCACAGTGAGGTAAATGTCCAAACCCTAAAACACACACTTTTCACATTTTCTCCTCTCTCAGTCATCTTTATAGTCACAAATCAGCCCTGGACAAGGTCGGTGCAGACTCCAGAAGCCTGGTAAATGGTTACTTTTCAGTATTCCTGCACTTCAAGTTCTTACAATAATCTTAGAAGAACTTTCCTGCTATGTTCTGAAAACATAACAACAGTAGACCTATAAATATATACTTATTTAAGGTATTTGCTCCCTCAAGGGGGAGTTGGTTTTGTTGTGTTTTGTTTTGTTTGTAAAATGATCATAATGGTAAAGATACCAAGATGGAGAACTAGTGAAATAAAAGGACTATGCCACAGAGCTAGGACATCTGGGTTTCCATCCCAGCTTTTCCACTAACTTTGTATGTTTTGTTGGGCAAGTTAGTATAGTCCCTTTGTCCCGGTTCTTCATCCATTTTTTAAAATTTATTTGTTTGTTTTTATTTTTGGCTGTGTTGGGTCTTCGTCGCTTGTGCACGGGCTTTCTCTAGTTGTGGTGTGCGGGCTTCTCATTGTCATGGCTTCTCTTGTTGCAGAGCACAGGCTCTAGGCACGCAGGCATCGGTAGTTGTGGTACGCAGACTCAGTAGTTGTGGCTCTCGGGCTCAGGCTCAGTAGTTGTGGTGCACGGGCTTAGTTGCTCTGTGGCATGTGGGATCTTCCCCGGCCAGGGATCGAACCCATGTCCCCTGCATTGGCAGGCAGATTCTTAACCACTGCACCACCAGGGAAACCCCGGTTTTTCATCTATTAAATGAAGGATTTGGACTCTTCAGTCTTAAATTTTGAAGTTCCTACATTATTCGTTTCATTCTTCAACTGAAGTTAGAATTTGATCATTCTTTTGTAAAAACCTTGAAGGTTTGTATTATCTTCAAAATTCTAACCTCCATTCTCCTTTATTGACTCTGTGTGTGTGTGTGTGTGTGTGTGTGTGAGAGAGAGAGAGAGAGAGAGAGAGAGAGAGAGATTGAGAGATTGAGAGCTGAGTTTGGCAGATACATACCTTCTGGTGGTACACACAGCATTGTTTAAAAGTAGTCCTTTGATGAATTAGTTTACATTGTGTCAAAACTGCATAATCCAGTGTTAGTTGGGTATAAGGAAAAGAAGCCCAACTCTTTTTATAAACCTCTATTTCTATTCCTATCTTCCTACAAAGATTTCTTTAAGGTAGTGAATATTCACTTCATTATGCTCCAAGATTCAAGCCATTCATCCTCACTAGAACTTACCCCTGAAGCTGGGTATGTTGCTTAGGTGTCCTACTCTTCAACCATTCTATTTTTGACCAACTGTTTTTCTTTAAGACTGCATCTGCTTGTTCTTTTTTCTGACCATTCATCCAGTTAATACCCGCAATGTCATTTCAGAGGCATGTATTCTGTACTTCCATATCCTTCATTTTTAAAGCCTGTACCAATTTTTTATATTTTGGCTTGTGTCCCTATAGGTAAATGTATGTTTGTTGAATTGTACTTTCAATATTTAGGCTTAGAAAAGAAGATAATTATAAGCATGTGTATTCTCTCTAGAAAAGATTTCAGAGAGAGAAATCCAGACTCATAATAATTTCTTTAAAAATGCTTAAAATGACCCCTTTTAGCTCCAGCTTAATGACCTTTCTCTATACAAGCATAAGCCAATGAGAATGCCACTAATTTAATTTATAACTCATTGTCGGCCTTTTTTTCACCTCATTTGCTTTATGTGGATGTGTTTCCTCTTTCTGGAAGGAGAAATATGGGCTAATATCGCACACTGATGCCAAGCTGGCTCCTGCTGTATCTTGCTGATCTTCTGTGGGTAGTTGCCAGGGACATTAGGAGCCTTGGTTCACTATTATTTTTGCTGTCCATCCTGAGTTTGTTTTATATGCCAGGAGTCTTACTTTAGTCAGCTTGATGTCACTGGACATGTGCAGATGACTCGTTTTTTTCAGGTGAACCCAGGGTTTCCAGATAGGAGACCTTCTCATTCATCATCCAAAAACTGAGCTCCGTATTCATTTACTTATTACTTTATTCAAATATTTATTGAGCACCTACCATGTTCTGGAGTAAAAAGTATTGAACAGAACTGATCAAGTTGTTGCCCATGTGGATCTTACATTCTAAGCCTGCTAAGGGAAAGTGTCAGACAATAAACAAATAAATATAAACTGTGTTATGTTATTGATAAGTGATATAAAGTATAATTGTAAAACAGGATAAGAGATAAAGAGCATAGGTGGTCAGAGAAAAGCCTTTCTAAACAAGTGAATTTGAAACAGAGAGCCAAATAAACTGAAGAAGGAACCATGCACTAACTGAGAAAAGAGTGTCTTTGACAAAGAGAACTCTCCATGCAAAAGCCTTGAGATGGACCTTACTTGGTGAAGTTAAGAAAGAGCAAGAAAGGGAGTGTGGCTGGAGCAGAGTGGGCACCTGTCTGAGTATTATGCAATGTAGCATACAGCCAGGTCACATAGGGCACAGAGAACTTAATACTTAAGATGGTAAGCTATCTGAAGCATTTTGAGATGAGAGTGTGATCTGACTTACATTTTATGGAAATGAGTCTCAATGGAGCAAGAATGGTTATAGGTTATAACTCATACATAGGTGAGAGGTTATTGCAAAATCTTCATGGGTTATAATGGTGGCTTGAAATAGCATGGGAGCAGTGACAGAGGTAAAAAGGGATTAGACTCAGGATACAATACTGGAAAATAGAATTCACAGGATTTGCTGAAGGAGTGGATATGGTACATAAGAGAAAGAGCAGTCACGGATGACCCCGAGCTTTGAGGACTGAATAACTAATCGAAAGCAGTTGCCGTTTACTGTCACAGGGAGATCGTGGGAGGAATAAGTTGTGGGGGAAATACAAGAGTTTCGTTTTCCATGTGCTCAGGTGCCTATTAAGTATCCAAGTGGGAAAATATGGAATTGGCGATATAAGACAGTATACAGATCAGGTTCAGAAGTAAAATCT